CCCCCTCCTCCTCCTTCCTCCTGCCTCCTACTGCCTCCTAGTGCCTCCTCCATCCTCCTCCTCCTGCCTCCTCCTGCCTCCTGCCTCCTACTGCCTCCTTCTGCCACCTGCTGCCTCCTCCTCCTGCCTCCTTCTGCCACCTGCTGCCTCGTCCTGCCTCCTCCTGCCACCTGCTGCCTCCTCCTACTGCCTCCTCCTCCTGCCTCCTCCTGCCTCCTTCTGCCACCTGCTGCCTCCTCCTCCTGCCACCTGCTGCCTCCTCCCTCCTCCTCCTGCCACCTGCTGCCTCCTCCTGCCTCCTCCTGCCACCTGCTGCCTCGTCCTGCCTCCTTCTGCCACCTGCTGCCACCTGCTGCCTCCTCCTCCTGCCTCCTCCTACTGCCTCCTCCTCCTGCCACCTGCTGCCTTGTCCTGCCTCCTACTGCCTCCTACTGCCTCCTCCTCCTGCCTCCTAGTGCCTCCTCCATCCTCCTCCTCCTGCCTCCTTCTGCCACCTGCTGCCTCCTCCTCCTGCCACCTGCTGCCTCGTCCTGCCTCCTCCTGCCTCCTCCTGCCTCCTACTGCCTCCTCCTGCCTCCTCCTGCCTCCTACTGCCTCCTCCTCCTGCCTCCTACTGCCTCCTTCTCCTGCCACCTGCTGCCTCGTCCTGCCTCCTCCTGCCTCCTCCTGCCTCCTACTGCCTCCTCCTCCTGCCTCCTACTGCCTCCTCCTGCCTCCTAGTGCCTCCTCCTCCTGCCTCCTCCTGCCTCCTTCTGCCTCCTCCTCCTGCCTCCTCCTGCCTCCTCCTGCCTCCTCCTGCCTCCTCCTGCCTCCTCCTCCTGCCTCCTCCTGCCTCCTCCTGCCTCCTCCTCCTGCCTCCTCCTCTTGCCTCCTCCTCCTCCTGCCTCCTCCTGCCTCCTCCTGCCTCCTCCTCCTGCCTCCTCCTCTTGCCTCCGCCTCCTCCTGCCTCCTCCTGCCTCCTCCTGCCTCCTCTGGCCTCCTGTCCAAGATTAAATGTAAAATAAACAGGTTGTTAATTAAACCAGACCAGGATCTCTCCCTGAACAGAACCATAAACCAGTTTAATAAATTTGGAGTCACTATATATATATACTATATATATATATAGTATATATGTACTACATATATTATATCACTATATATCTTGAGTAAATATCGGAAGCTGTGTTTCCATTAATCTGCACAGTTTGAAATTAGAATCAGAAATACTTTAATCCCCTGCAGGAAGTTGTTGTGTTGCAGTGCTCCATTCCACATATATAAAATATAAAGCAATGAAAATAAAAAAGAATAAATATACTGTCAGTAATAATCAGTATATACATAGTTCATATTTACATGCCATTTACAGTTACAGTGAATTAGGAACTAAAAAGGGAAGTGAATGAGAATGAGGAGGATTTTCAGACAAAGCAATATTTCACTTTTCATCATCAAACACATTTAAGTCACATGTCATCCAAAAACACTGCAGACTATCATCTCCCAAAAAGTCAGGGGTCGCATCCTTCGGAGGACGTGGTCAACCAAGGCTCCTGTTGCCTAGCAACCGTGACGACACGTAACTTTTTTATTTCCAAAAACTTTTAAGTCTCTTGGTTTTAATCGTTGATCTGAGCTGAAGCACAATAATTAGATTCAACAGTGTAACCCCTCAGACTCTCTGTCAGCACACAATGAATCTTGGGATATGTTGGATGCTTTGTTGCCTAGGAAACGAAGGATGCATTTGAAGGAGCCTTTGAAACGCGACAGTCTTTTCGCGCCGCTGTGATGTAATCACTCCTCGAAGGATGGCGCCCCTGACTCGTGTCCGCTGTCAGAAACATCGCCCTCGTCACCTTTTCTGAAATACTGCGACCGCTGAGGTGGATGTGATCGAATCAACAGTTATCAGATGCTGGAAATCTGTCGCCATGTTTAATTGGAGAGAACCAGCTTTGATCACCAACATGCCTCAGTGGAAACAGAAGATTGACTGTGTGTTCTGTCGACTCTTCTAATTAAAAATTAGCTTCTATTCTGCACAACTGACGGAAACGTCACAGCCACTGAACCCAGTCTGTGCAGCTGCTGGTGTTAAACTTATATCTACATTTTCATTGTAAGGAAACGCTGCTATGGTGATGACGCTGTCGGGGAGAGTGGAGTGTCTGTACGCTGAGGGTCGTTACTAATCAGCCAGACAGAGACGAGCTGATTGAGACCTTCACCCCTGCTCCTCTGTGAGGGAAACCCCTCATCACCAACAGTTAGATGAAGCTGATTTACTCCAACACACTTTCAACATGAGTTGTAAAATATTATTTGATCAAATTAAATTCAGTTTCAAATCCTGGAAGTTAAATTCAAAATATAGGAATTCATTTTATTAAAGTAAATTTGACTCGACTTAACAGTACAATCTTAAAAAGTGTACATTTATATTTTGGCAAAAAATGAAATTGTTGGTACAAATATCTGTGATCTTATAGACAGATACAGTTTTATATTTTTATATTTATTACATATTTCATCTTTTTCACATTCTTTTTAATGTTTCTAACGACCTGCTGTTTAATAAACTCACGACTGAACAAACAAAATAATTTCAAGAGAAAACGTCAAAATAAAAATGACATAGAACAAACATTGTGCAAATGATTCTGTGCTGACAAGACAATGTGACATTGATGTGGTTTTGTTGTCAGAAAACATCAGGTCTGATTTTTCTTCAGTGTTTTTATCAGAATATTCAGTTTGATAAGAAACGAGACTGAAACAGAGAGAAGATCTCGTGCAGAGAAACCGAACAGACGCTGCAGCAAAAGGAAGCGGCAGATGAACAGTTCAGATAAACTGTAAAAAACTAAATCAGATAACTCAATACATTATGAAGATTTACATTATATAATCTAAAGCAACATTAATAGGTAAGTAGATAGTAATAGATAGTAAGCACAGACACCATGTGACACACACTCACAGAATCATGATGAGAAGGAATTTACACTTAATAATGAATTATTGAATGAATATCTATGACTGGAGAAGCAACAATAAAGATCTTAAAGTCTGAAACACTCGACCTGCTTCGTCAGGACTGAGTGGGCAGAAACAGATTCTGATTTGCTTGTTGCTAAAAGCTCAGAGGTGGATGTGGATTTTCACGTCTTTTAACAGCCTCTGAAAATCTTGTTCTTCTGACCTGCTGCAGTTTAACGACTCACCTGCAGCAGTGACGCCGTGATTGTCACAGGTGAAACAAATTAGAGATGATCTGAAATGGACTCGACCCAATAAACAGAGATCCACTGGAAAAGTAAAGTGAGAGGAACTGAAATAAAATGTTCATATGCTTCAAAAACAAATGCATATAAATAATGAAAAGTCCTGTTTCACAAAAATAAACAAATAAGATATTTGATATCTGTCAATCAATTAATCAATCAAACACTTTGATTGAACAGCATCAATCTAAGATAAAAAGAAGTTGCTCCTCAGGACGGAGCAGCTGATGCTTCCTCATCTGATTCAGTTCATTTCCACTCTCAACAGTCGGATTGAAATACGACGGGGAATCGAACCTGGAGGAGCGTCCTCAGTGCTCCTGTGTCTGAGGGCCTGAGCCCTGACCCGGGGCCCGAGGGCCTGAGCCCTGACCCGGGGCCCGAGGCCCGAGGCAGACCTGCTCTAAATCATTATCAGTCTAACAGACCTGTGTGTGAAGGGATCCGAGAGCAGCGGCGTCAGTAAATGTTGAGTGAATGATTTGATCACTTCGAACATTAATCACTAGATATTAGAACAGATCAAGGTAAAATCTGTCAAATTATTTACATGCGACAAGTTTTAGAACTTTGTGTTTCCATGGCTGCACTGTTTGATCACATGAAGATAATCTACAAATCTGATGCATTGATTAAAAAACAAAAAGCTCCCTGCAGTGTGAAACAGCAGCAGCGTCGGCTCACAGCTTCCTGTCCTGCAGATGTTATCAGAGGAGAAACCGTGTTCACCTGTGCAACACTGCAGTGAGAGTGATGGACTGCAGAGATAACAGGAATCTCCCCTGCCGTCTCTGCATCTGCTTTATCAGTGTGATCAGATCTGTTGGTCGCACGTCGTTATAAATACAACTGAACTCAGAGCAGCAACACACACACACACTAACACACACACAGCAGCTGGACCGGGCCGACAGCGACGATATGAAGCCGAGACACAGCGTCTGCACTCTGCTGGTGAGCAACAACTTTTTCCTTTAATAAGAACTGACGATCAATTCATCTGTTTCCACGTGTTCTAACTTCATCTGTGACTCAAAGACCTGAATGAACGACGGATGACGGAGAGAGAACGTGACGATTAAAGTCTAATCTTTAATCTGCTGCTGAGTGAGAAAACAAATAGTGAAATAGATGAAGATAATTGATACAATCTGATCAATAACTTCTCATTTACAACTCCAAACAGAACAAAGCGAACGTCTGCAGCCGTGACACAGGAAGTCATATAATTGATAAGATGGAGGGCAAGTGTGATTTCTACCGCAGCAGTTATATTTTCATCTTTTATCTCACACTTCGTCATAAAGGCGAAGAGTTTCCGTCTGAAATATTTCTAATATTGATAATCATATCTACGACCTGTTCTCTGAGCAGCCGCGTATCAGGAAGCTCAGAGTCACTTATCTTTAAAATTTTACCACAAATTAAAGCTCCATGTTTCTTCTTCTTCTTCTGTGTTTTATTTGAAGTGTTGATAGAAGATATATTTAAACCATCTCAGTGTAGTTTTACATCTCCTCTCTCAGGCTTCTCTCTGGAGCTCTAGTAACAACAGGTCGGTGAGCCAATCAGAAGAGAGGAGGCTCTGAGCCTCTCTTCTGATTGGCTGACTGTTTTCTGAGTGATCCAATAAAAATGAAACAGATTTCAGGTAAAAACACTCAGAGAAACCAAATCCTGCAAGGTTTGGATGGTGGGTCCAGGTGGGCGGGGCTTGGTGACTGCTTTGTTGTGACATCACAAAGTTCCAGAAGTCCTGACGGCTGGTTTTAAGGCTCAGTTTCTGGACTGATTTTGGGCGATTCATTTAATTTTATTTTCGATTAGGTTTTTTTTGCAACAAATTTTATCCTCCCTTCCACTTCCTGGTTAAGTTTTGGCGACGTACGTAGCAGTGCGTCATTGGTTCAGAGACAGTCAGGAGAGCTCACATCCTGTTTGGCTGCTGTTCCACTTCTTCTCCCGACTCACTTCAGCAAGAGTTTGATAGATTAGAAGAGAAGCGCCGGTTGTGTTGTTACTTCCTGTCTGAGCTCCGCCTCCACATTGTGCTGGTGTAGAAAACAAACCACACTGAGCTCAGATACTGAGGCTTTCAGAGAACTGTGACCAACATCTGATCTGAGGTCAGATTATCTCAATAATAATGTTCCTGTAGAAGAACAAACATCTCAGTTCAACTTACAGTAATAATCTCGCTTCTCCTGTCCTCAGGTACGTTGCAGTGCATTGTGGGTGGTGGTCTCCTCCTCCTCCAGGGTTAAAGCTCCTCCCCCTCCTCCTCCTGGATGTGACTCCATGTTGGCGTTCTCCTCAGAGGTCTCCTCCTTAACTGAGGGGAACGGGAACATCCACACAAGATCTCTGTCTCCATGGACCTGGAGGTGGGTCTGACAACACACACACACACACACACACACACTCACACACACACACACACACACACACACACGCACACACACACGCACACACACACACACACACACACACACACGCACACACACACGCACACACACACACACACACACACACACACGCACACACACACGCACACACACACACACACACACACACACACGCACACACACACGCACACACACACACACACACACACACACACGCACACACACACGCACACACACACACACACACACACACACACGCACACACACACGCACACACACACACACACACACACACACACGCACACACACACGCACACACACACACACACACACACACACACGCACACACACACGCACACACACACACACACACACACACACACGCACACACACACGCACACACACACACACACACACACACACACGCACACACACACGCACACACACACACACACACACACACACACGCACACACACACGCACACACACACACACACACACACACACACGCACACACACACGCACACACACACACACACACACACACACACGCACACACACACGCACACACACACACACACACACACACTCACAATATTCATGTTTACAGATGATCAATAAGTGAACTGGTTGTTTAAGTTTGATAACTTTGTAATTAAATCTTAGACATGACGTCATCAAACTGAACTATTTAATTAGTATTTCTAGTTCTTCCACCATTATACATGTTTTAATTTATAAGTTCTATTGTAAAAAATAAAGAAATGGTTTCTATGTGAATAATATGAATAACGTGGGCTGGACATGTATCTGCATGGTATAATAATAAAAACTCATTTCATTCATATAATTAAATATATTAAACAAATCAATCAATTTTACATCCAATCAAATTTTAAAATATCACACTGATGAGACCCATGAAATGAAAACCTAAGCAAGAATAAACAAATTAAATGAGCCTTGTCACTTTATGATAATTAAAAAGATGTCCTCTCTGGGCCTCCGTACCTGTGAGGAGTCTACAGTGACACCTGTGTTTCCTCTGTAAACTGATGTTGTTGTTGTTGTTGTTGTTGTTGTTGTTGTTGTTGTTGTTGTTGTTGTTGTTGTTGTTCAGGTCATCCACGGTGAAGAACCGGATCCCCTCCACCCTCTGGGAGGCCGAGTGCAGCAGCAGCTTCTGCTCCAGTCCCAGCCCTGGAGACACGGACGAGCACGGCCTGAACTCGGTCCCCGTCTACCAGAACGTCCTGGTCCTGACCCGGCAGGAGGGGGCGGGGCGCTGCTTCACCGCCTCCTTCCAGTCTGTGGCCGTCGGCTGCACCTGCGTCAGGGCCAAGACCAGTCGAACCTGAGGCCACGTCGATCTGGACCGGCAGCTGGAGACGGAGGAAAAAGAACTAAATAAATAAAAGGAATTTAATATTTAATATTTTCTAATTGAACTGATTCTGAATAAAAACGTACAACACAAACATGAAACTGTGTCGGCTTCAGTTTAGAGCGGGACCTGTAGACCTCCATAAAGCAGGTCAACACAATCTGAACATTAGAACTGTTGGATAATATTAATAATAACAATAAACTTTATTTAAAGAGCACGTTTCAAGAGCAGCCATGGAGCTCAGAGTGCTTTATAATGTATGTGAATGTGAATAGAGTGACGATGAAATTAAACAGGAGATGATGAAATATGAAAATGAAAATAAAAACAGAATCCAATAAGAAAAGTAAAATATGAGACAATGAATCAAAAGCCAAATTAAATAAAGAGATTTTTAGCTGCTGTATATAAAAGTCCAGCAGTAGAAGATGGTGACGGATTATACAACCACAGAGAATCTGCTCCCAAACCACGAGGAGCTTTAAAACCCAGTAAACATCTCTTCTAGAAGATACTGGGAGCCAGTGGAGTGAAGCTGATGTTCCCTCTAGTTTTAACTAGGTGTTCCTAATAAACTGATGCGTGGTCAGTTCAGCAGAGGAAGGGAACAGAGCATGTATGTGTGTGTGTGTGTGTGTGTGTGTGTGTGTGTGTGTGTGTGTGTGTGTGTGTGTGTTGTCTCGTGACGTCTGAAATCCTGAGCAGAGAAAAACTCATTCAGACGGAAATCAGCTCTAATTAGCTGAAAACAAGAGCACATTATAGAGATTAGACTGTGTGTGTGTGTGTGTGTGTGTGTGTGTGTGTGTGTGTGTGTGTGTGTGTGTGTGTGTGTCACCATGCATGTGACAGTGGCTGGTCTGCAGCAGGACTGAGCAGCAAACAGGTCAGTGACAAAACAACCAGACGCACCAGCTTCCAATAGAATAGAATAGAATAGAATAGAATAGAATAGAATAGAGTAGAGTAGAAAATGCCTCCTGCTGTGTAACAACTCGGCGCTCACGATTGTTTCTTCTGTTGGTGACCTCTGACCTTCTGGATGTGAGTTTGCATTTTTCTGAAATCTTCTTGTTTCTGATTGTAAATGTTTGTTTGTTTGTTAAATGCAGGAAACAGGACATACTTCTTCTTCTTCTTCTTCTTCTTCTTCTTATTATTATTATTATTATTATTATTATTATTATTATTAGTTCAGTTATTATTTTATTATTATCATTATTATCATTATTATCATTATTATTATTAGTTCAGAGACACATAAATTCCTGCAGTGATACAGTTTGTGTGATTACAGACTTTCACGGTCAAAACCAGAAGTGAACGTCACAGACTTTTTGTTTCTGCTGGTGTTTGTTCGTCTGATGATTGATCGTCGTCTTTTCACCTGATTTTTAATTAATCAAATAATCAGAAAATCGTCTGAATTTAAAATCTATATAAACTGGAGCAGCTGCTGTTTCCAGATGTGTTTTTCCCTGCTGTAAATTTTTCCAGGATGATGTCACCAGACTGTAGGTTCATGTCTCTGAGAAATCAGCTTCTTTTCTGTCACTGTGGTGAATGTCTCTAAATACTACATTACCCATGAGCCTCAGCTACTGTTGCTATGGAGAAGAGGCCAGTCAGAGATGTGAATAAGTAGTGTAGAGTAGTGAATCCAGGACACGTTGTTGTTGCCTACACACCTGGAGGTCACCTGTCTAACCACATACTCACCTGTGGAAGCACCAAAACGCATCACAACATACTCCTCCCCCTCTGTCTGATCACCTGCCCACCTGAACTCACACCTGTATCCTACCCACATGTTAAACAACCTAAACACCTGTATAACCTACACCTGTCTGACCACCTGTGTGACTTCATACCACCTGTACACCTGTCTAAACAACACACCTGTCTACCATCAAAACACCTGTCTAACCGTCAACACACCTGTCTAATCAACACACCTGTCTAACCATCAACACACCTGTCTACCATCAACACCCCTGTCTAATCAACACAAGTGTCTAACCATCAACACACCTGTCTACCATCAACACACCTGTCCAATCAACACACCTGTCTACCATCAACACACCTGTCTACCATCAACACACCTGTCTAACCCACTTGTTTCACCTTCGTACAGAACAACAAGCTAAAATCAGGATCCTCTCCCATCATGCCTCGGGTGTCGTTCGCCCCTCCCTCGCTGTGCCTCACCTTTCTCCCCTTGGTGCACCGCCTCCTCCCCTCCCTCCCCCCCACGGTCCGTGACGTGGACGTCCCCCCTCTGTTCCGGGAGCGGTTCATCCTGGGGGGGTACCGGCCCGTGGGCCTGTCGTGGCGTAGTTACGTCCTCAGTCTGTTCCAGATCCACAACGAGACCCTGAATGTGTGGAGTCACCTGCTCGCCGCGGTCTGCGTCCTGCTGAGGTTCATGGCGTTCGCCGTCCTGCAGGGGGGGGTACTGTCACCGTCTCCTGTTTGTTTCACCTCCTTTTTTTTGGAAGTCATGTATCTGACCCGTTTGACCTCTGACCTCCTCAGGGGATCCTGGGTTTTCGGCTGCAGGGTCCTGAAGGTCAGGGCTTTTCTCTGGACGTGTCCTCGCTGCCTCTCGTCCTCTATGTCTTCTCTGCCGTCACCTACCTGAGCTGCAGGTGAGTCCGCAACGTCTTTAAGAAAAAAACAGAGTCTGACTCTGACTAGGGCTCATGGGAAATCTCACAGCTGTGTCGCAGTTCAGAGGCTCCTTCAAAATGCGTCCTTTGTTTCCTGGACAACGAACGATCCAACAGGTGATTCCAACATTTCCCAGGATGCAGATCAAGCTTTATTATTGATAGAAAATTATTGATTAGTGCAGCTCTAATTACTGTGCATGTTGCAGCGCTGTAGCTCACCTGTTGCAGTCCCACTCGGAGCATGCGCACTACTCGCTCTTCTTCCTGGACTACGTGGGCGTGGCTGTCTACCAGTACGGCTGTGCTCTGGCTCTGTGCCTGTACAGCTCGGACGCGGCCTGGACGCAAAGCATGCTGGGACAGGTCTGTTTGTGTGTCTTACGTCCATCCTCAATAACATGACATGATGCATTCAGGTGCACTGATGACGCCGGTGTTTGCAGATCTTCCTCCCGGCCGCCGCCCTCCTCGCCTGGTTCTCTTGCGCCACCTGCTGCTACGCGAAGCTTCATTTCCGCCGTCCGTACCCGCTGCACCGGAAGCTCTGCCAGGTGGTCCCGATGGGCGTGGCCTACCTGCTGGACATCAGTCCCATCGCCCATCGTCTCGCCACCTACAGCTGGACGAACAGCACTGCGCTGCCTCTGCACTTCCTGCAGGTGATGTTTAAAGAGCCTGCAAAACACCTGCAGTTAAGATTTTCCTTCAAGTAAAAACAGTTGCACAAAACAACTCAAGTTTCATCCCTAAGGTTTCCTTAAAATGTTCACATGAGTATTTAAGGTTTTCTCCTTTTCTTAGTCTTATACTTAAGGAATCACTTAAAATCAGGTAAACCGTTGCACAAAACACCTTAGAGACCAAAGTAAGGTAAAAAACTAAAGGTACTTCTGACTCTGTCTAAACTGCAACATGACCCAGTTTAAATGAAGATCAGTTCAACATATCAACTGAAACTGTCACTTCCTGTTTCTACTGCCACTTCTGCCCCTCTTCCACCAGGTGGTGCTGTTCCTGCTGTCGGCCTTCTTCTTCTCCTGTCCCGTCCCTGAGCGCTTCGCCCCCGGTCGCTACGACATCGTGGGCCACGGCCATCAGCTCTTCCACATCCTGTTGTCCCTCTGCACGCTCGTCCAGCAGGAGGCGCTGTTCCGGGACTTCCTGTGGCGGCGGCCGGCGCTGGTCAGGGAGTTTGGAGAGGAGCGCCTCCTGCTGGCCTGCGCCTCCTTCCCCTGCCTGACGCTCTGCTGCACCATCACGGCGCTCGCCGTGAGGAGGAGGGCTCAGACTCAGCTGATGAAAGAGCAGAGATAGAAGAAGAAGAAGAAGAAGAAGAAGAAGAAGAAGAAGGAGGAGGAGGAGGAGGAGGAGGAGGAGGAGGAGGAGGAGGATGTGTGACCTCATGCTAAAACTCCTGAGGGATTTACTTTGGATTAAAAGACTTCTCTGAGCAAACAGGAGCGTGTTTGTAGACGTCTGCTCCTCTGGGAAGAAGATTATTATAATGTTCTTCTGGTTTTTCTGGTTTCTGTTTTTTTGTTTTTACCTTTTTGTCTAAACTAGAATAATATTGTGCATATTTTTCTGTTTTTCAAATCACTTTTTGGAAACTTTTGTGGAAAGTTGTTCAGGACGACATTTTAACCTGGCAAAGCGACAACGTGTTTCCAACATGTTATCTTCACTAATCAGCAGAATGTTTTCAGCCTTCATCAGTGTCACAGTCATGCAACATAAAAGCCTAAACAACACTTTAACAAAATTAACTGGTTTGCAACAACAACAACAACAACAACAACAACAACAACAACAACGAGCGTCCATCTTTGGAGCAAGTGAGGAAATGAACTCAACACAAGCTAGAATTCCCTCCTCGTGGTTTAATGCCTCAGGAAACACGGTCACAGTCTCTTCTTCATGAGTTACAGTGTTGAATAATGGCCAGAAGTGTTTCTACTGAACATTATGATGTCACAGGGAAGTTGACCTTTGACCTTTTGGATATAAAATGTCATCACATTTGAGTTAAATTGTGTCGTAATTAGTGAATGAATGTATTGGCTCCTGCATCCTCCACTGTGGTCCTGCTTCTGTAGAGGGACTATAGTTTTAAAACCATTGTTTTAGTTTTAATTGATATAAATTTGTTTTTTTTCATCTCTGTGCCTCCATTTTTTTCTGACTAAAGTAATTACTTAGAAAAAACAACCTCAGATGAGGAGAACTGCACAGCTGCAACCAACACTTATTTTCATCATCAACACGTGACAGTTAATTTCTTTAATAATCGATTGTTTCTCAGTTTATAAATGTCAGAAACACGTCAAACATTGTTCCCTCAGGATCAGATGAACATGTAATAATGTTTTATTTTGTAATTCTTAAAATAAAAACAGTTGTATTTGGGTGGAGGCAGAAATCGCAGCAGTAGAGATCAACGAACACCTGGACAGGAAACTGAAGTTAACGCGACGTAATTCAGACATGAAGAGTGAAATTAATATTATTGTTCAAACTGCACAGTGCTGTTATCTCTCTCTCTCTCAGTTCTCCAATGGCCTCGCTCTGCCAGTCAAGCGGTAAGTGTCAGTTGGAGTGTTTGGGTGGAGCAGCAGATAATGTTCCACTCTCAGGTTTAATATGTTTATCAGTCACAGCTGCATGTGTAGAGAGGAACGGCCACGAGTCGACCGACACTCCCTTCGTGGGTTATTACAGGATTGATTCATTCTGAACACAGGAGTCTGTCCTGATGGTGGCGCTAGAGGAAACTAAAGGACTCTTTAACAGTCATTAATCAAACTGTATTTATGGACTTCTCATAGAAGTTAGTGACAAAAAACAACTGAAAACATCATCTGCAGCTTAAATCAGTTAACTTTTAAATTCTTGATCTGATTGGTTTCGTCTCCATGGCAACAGCAGCTGAGGCTCATGGGTATTGTAGTAGTAAGAGACGCTTGTCAAAATGAAGGTAAAACCTGATTTCTCACAAAAAAGGTTAAATGATTAAAATTGATCAGAGTATAAACCACTTCCTGAACTGGTGGCCCCTCCCACTTCACAACTCTGGTGAATTAGCTTGTTAGCAACCTCGTTAGCAAGCGAGCTAGCCAGCTAGCAAGTGAGAGTTAGCTCACTGGTAATAAGACTCTTCTTATTTAAATTTAACTCATGAAAGAAACTCAGAAAATTAATGTTTTATTGAGTTTAAAAGTGAAGATAGACTCTTCAGCTGTCATCCATCAGTGTGTGTGTGTGTGTGTGTGTGTGTGTGTGTGTGTGTGGCTTTAAGCAGCTCAAACAGCAGAGCGGCTCACTGTTTGTTCAGTCTGTCAATAAGTAAACCTGCAGCAGGGACAACTCCCCACACAGAGTCTGAACCTGAACTCAGCGCCGTCTGCACACAGGTACGAGCTGCACTTTAACTCTAATGGACAACTAGTTCATCAGCTGTTAACAACAATCATACTTTTATTAAGTTTTCTGTTAGATGATGTCGTCAGTCAGGATCTTTCTGTCCTGCAATTTGTCAGTCATCATAAATGTAATAATATAAAGACTGAAGAATTTTCAGGATCAATGATTTTAACTTTAATTTTAAATATCAAACAAAAACAAGTCAATAGAGACAGTTATAAATATTAACATGTATGTGGGAATATTAACAGAAAATAACATGAAAACATTTGAATTTCTGCTGGAGACATTTTGGAAATTATGGAAATATATTTTAATATAAACAAAATATTTATAGTTTAATATGTTTCATTGTGTGCATGGCTTTATATCAAGTGAGATGTTGTGTTGTATGAGTGTCATCACACACTCATACAACACAACATCTCACAGTTTAACAGCAGGAACTTAACTCCAGTTTTCCATTTGCTGCCACATGATTTGTCTACTCCACCACATTTATAATTTTCTACTTTACTACATTCATTTGATTGAAACTGTGGTTATAAGTTACTATGACGATTCAGATTATTGATACAAAATGTAATTAACTAATAATGTAGTGATGTTTTATTATTGCTAAAGCTAACCAGCTGTATATAAAGGAATTAATATTAGCTCTGCAACTTCAAAGTGATGAACACATTAATGCATCAATAATTAAAATTCAATATATAAGACACATTATTCTGCATAATAAGTTCTTTTACTTTTGGTACTTTAAGTATATTTTATGATGATGATACTTCATTATAAAATGTAGTTTTTATTTTACTTAAGATCTGAGTTCTCAGTGTGTTCCTCTACACAGTCCACACAAAAGGATTTTATCAAATGTGTGTGTAATGTCTCGGGTGTCACATTACGTCAGATATAATATTTAAAAATTATTGTCACTTCAACTTCAACTTCAACTTTATCAACACAACAATTTGGAAACAGAAAATTCATACAGATAAAAGCAATAGTCTGTATGAGTCTGTGGACTGAAATGTTGTGTTAATAAAGTCAGTTCATGTCTGTATGGTAAATACTGCAGCTGATTAGCTTAGCTTAGCTTAGCATACAGGCTGGAAACAGGGGGACCCAGCTAGCCTAGCTCTGTGTAAAGGTAGAGAAATCCACCTACCAGCATAGAAGCCTTAGTGTAAAGGCCATTCCACGGTTTCTATGGAGACCCACAAAGTCTTGACCACGTTGTTCCAGTTGTTCCCAACATGTTGGACTGTTCCTTTAAATGACATTTTAATGAATGAATATTAATTCTTTGTTTGTCCGACAGGTGTCAGACAGGATGGTGAAGCTGCTTCGATTCTCACGGAGCTGAAAGAACAAGGTAAACAACAGCTAAACAACATCTGAACTACATAAAAACAACAGGTAAACAACAGGTAAACATCTAAACAACAGGTAAACAACAGCTCTGTGGAGTTTCTCTGATCAGGCTCACTCGTCTTGGTCTTGTTTTTTTCAGAGCTTTTCTTCACTTTTTCATAACGCTTCACCTTTCCACAGATTTTGTTGTTTCATGGTGTTAGAAAGTAAACACAGTCTCTTGTTTACTCAGTGTTTTGTTTATACACCAGTCACTGAATCTTCCTCTGCTCTGATGGTTCGGGATCGTTGAAGTTTTCTGGTGTGTTTTTGTTTCGGCTCACAGGAGGTGAACTTTGTATTCTGGATGAGGTTTAGCTGCAGCAGAGACATGAGCATGATTTAACGAGCTCATATTGGTCGACCTTTGACCTCATGTCATCATCAGTCATGTTAATGACCAGGAAAAACCAAAGCTCATGTAGCTGCCATTAGGTTTCCGTATAGACCAGTAAAATGCAAATACAGTTTATAAAACAGCCATAAGGTCTTCAGTGTCAGTGTTGGAGTAAATATCCTGCAGCTCCATCTGAGCTTCAGTCTGGATTTGCATGTCGACAGAAACTAAAACCTCTCATGTTTGTGTCCAGCTCCAGCTGTAAGTATCAGGCCAGCTGTTCTGCACCAGCTGCAGCCATGAAAACACCAAAGAGCAACTTTAGTTTATGTCTGATCAGCTCCAAATCTCAGTTTTAAAGCTCCATGTTTTCTTCTTCTTCTGTGTAGATATAAAAACCATCTCAGTGTAGTTTTACATCTCCTCTCTCAGGCTTCTCTCTGCAGCTCTAGTAACAACAGGTCGGTGAGCCAATCAGAAGAGAGGAGGCTCTGAGCCTCTCTTCTGATTGGCTGACTGTTTTCTGAGTGATCCAATAAAAATATAGCAGATTTCAGGTAAAAACACTCAGAGAAACCAAATCCTGCAAGGTTTGGATGGTGGGTCCAGGTGGGCGGGGCTTGGTGACTGCTTTGTTGTGACATCACAAAGTTCCAGAAGTCCTGACGGCTGGTTTTAAGGCTCAGTTTCTGAATACAGGCTGTGTGCATTTCTCTGTGGACTGAGGCTTTGATACTTTCACAGTATTAATATAGAAGCTAGAGCTGATCTATAATCACACTACACATGGACACAGACCTTTACACTGGAGGAGCTTTAAACCACAGCTAGACTCGTTAAATTAAAATATTTATTCACATCTTCAATTTATATTCTCCTGTTTTATTCATTTAAATTTCACATTTTACTTTTTTTTCAACCTTTTAACTCTGTCTCTGTGATTCTATTACATCCGGTCTCTATTCTGTTTATGTCTCATGTTGTCTGGTGCATTTTTACAGTCCAGAGAGTCAAACCTCAGCCCAGAAATTCCACAGACATTAATTAGTTACCTGAAAGCCGCAGGTCTCAGGTGTGTCGGAGCAGGAAGTGGGTCATGCCTTCAGTAAATTTGAGTTGTGTCACGTTTCTCCACACAGTCAGACAGAGAGGACGCACAGAGGTCACATGACTCACCTCCTCGTCTTCGACTCCTTCACAGTCTCTGCTCTGGTTTCTGTCTCTCTCAGACATCATGGCGGCAGTTGGAGCCGAGGTCACGGCATCCTGGTTCCTGTCATCGGGGGTCGTGGGTTTCCTCGTCATCCTCCTCCTCCTCTCCATCTTCCTCATGGCTCTCTGCAGCAACTGCGGCAGGTCGGCTGCTTCTGGTCTCTACGTCACTTCAGTTTAAAGGACAAATCTGCTGAGTTTCTGTTCTACTGTCAACACATCTCATTAATATCATCATCCAAACACTGATGCATCTGATTCCACTGAGCCACAGAGCAGCACACTGAATGTGGATTAATCTGCCGATGAAAATAGTCCCCAACTAATGCACTATTTCCTGTTTGTGTGATATATTTGTGAGGTTTGTTGACAGGAGGAAAAATAGAAAATATCACCAGAGTAAAATGCAGTTCTTTATCATAAGCAACAGTTTTATAGTTTTATGACAGAGGTTTATAGTAAACACCTAATTGTTTTAGATGAAGCGACATCAGAGATTTTGGATCCTGCTCCAGAAGTGAGAAAACTTTATTGCAAATCTCGCTGACATTTAAGTTACTGCTAATCCAGCGTTACATGACTCAGCTGAGTCCAGCATCAGACTAGCTGCAGCTGAAGCTCATGGGAACTGTAGTATTTACAGTGTTTCTCATCGGAAAACATTTCACTCATAGAATGGGAAGTTTCAGTCTCTGGCTACAGATTTAATGAGCTCGTCTCACACTTTAGATGTAAATGATCCTCAAACAGTTTCAGACTTTAATTCAAAATTAAATCAAAACTTGTCCTGTTCTGTTGCTGTTGTGTTGTCATTACATTTAAACTTTTTTCTTTTGTTTTCTAGACGTTCGTTTGAGCTGCGAGATTCAGAGACGGACAAAAACCCCTCAGCTCTGATCAGAGTGGTGAGAGACCTTTGACCTCTGAGATGAAACTCCTCTGAGCTTTTTGTTCATTAAATATAAAACCCCTGAGAGTGAATTAATTAATGTGACGTTTCCTGAAGGTGAAACTGGAAGACACCAGGGAGGCGAGAGAGAATCCGATGATCAGTGAGATCCAGAACGATGAAAAAGGTGAGTGAGCGTATGAACAGATGAAGATGAAAAGAGACGGTTGAATGAAAACAAAAGAACAAACTTCACAGACGAGTCTCTGAGATCTGAAATAAAAACTGGTTTTCACTCGGAACCAAACTGATGTTCAGGAAAACTAAAGCTGAAGCACAGTCTCACTTCCTGCTGCTCAGAGCTGTCAATCAGACCATGCGTCTTATTTTGAAAAACGTAATTACATTTTATCAAAACAATACAGAATTCTTATATTTTATCTCTTTTATCAGTTTTGTCTCTCTTTTCAATCTGCGTGTGTGTGTGTGTGTGTGTGTGTGTGTGTGTGTGTGTGTGTGTGTGTGTGTGTGTGTGTGTGTGTACAGAGTTTACTCGTCATGTGGGAAACTCGTTCACTCCGTGGAGGAGCCACTTGGGGGCGCCAGAGAACAACCAAGGTCTGTGAAAACACACTGAGAGTGTGTGTGTGTGTGTGTGTGTGTGTGTGTGTATGTGTGTGTGTGTGTACGTTTACTCACTCAACCCAGGGTTAGTTTCACCAGTCAGGTAACTGAAGCATCGGTGCTGTTGCCATGGTTACCTGCATGTTAACACACCTGGGGCTCTAACAGAGTTAGAATTGTTAGTTAAAATGTTCAAATGGCAGCCAATCAGAGACCAGGGATTTTCTATATTTGTTTGGCACTTTTCATACAAACAAACACTTTAACATATATAAATAAATACAAATAAAATAAATAAATAATATAAAAAAATAAATAAGATAATTAAAAGCCAAACAAAAATAATGAGCTGAACTGTTCAGTGAAGAAGAAGAAGAAGAAGAAGAAGAGATTTACCTGTCCTCATGTTGTTCAGGTGTTTCACTGAGGACAGAGCATCTTTACTAAAACCACCTGGAAACTCTAATGATCATCACATGTGACGTACTCTGGTTTTTATCAGTACATTGTGAATATCGATTAATATTCAAAACAAATAAAACGTATCATTATTAAAAACAAAATCAAATTATTACTAACTGATTAACACACACACAGAGAGTGGGAGTAAGGGAGGGTGGGGGTCAACAGCAGCCCACAGCTCTAGTGGTTTAATGTTCTTGGTGTGTGTGTGTGTGTGCCTCTGTGTATGTGCGTGTGTGTGTGTTTGTGTGTGTGTACTCAGATGTTCAGACCAATGGCAGTGCAGCAGTGATGGAGACAAGAGGAAACTCTGATGCTGCTGGAGGAGGAGGAGGAGGAGGAGGAGGAGGAGGAGGAGGAGGTGGTTACATCATGTGTAAACTGTAGTTTTTAATTTAAAATAATTTTAATCATAACATTGAAGCTAATTAAACATTCTATTACTACGTTTCCCATGATGCATAACTCCCTCTGCTCTGTGTGTGTGTTCAGAGTCGAGTCCTTCAGAGAAGTCGGTGGAGGTCGTGCTGTGGAGGAGTCACCTGAGGGCGTCACAGAAACAAGGTCACTGATGATACATCTGTAGAAATAATAACAACGAGATATAGAGAAATAATCATGAGAAACTAATTATCTGGAGAAACTACCAATGACAGAAAATGTATCTGGAATTATTCTGATCAATTCTATAATTTGATATAACGTTTGATTCCAGCTCGTTAAACGTGACAGTTTGCTGCTTCAGATTTTAGGATCGGAACTTTTTTCTGCTCAGAGAAACTGTGAAGATGTTTTTCTCTTTTGACACTTTATGTGACGTAATATATAAAAATACACCGACTGGTTAGAGCAGGAAGTTCTTGTTTTATAAGGTGTGAAGGAAAGGAAGCTGGGAGAGAGTGATGACTTTGAAAGAAAGCAAAGCAAACAACGAAAAAAATAAAGAAAAAAGGGACACAAAACAAAAACAAAGAAACTCAAAATACCTCCTCAATTAAAACTGTGTCTCTGTACAGATGTGAGCAGCTCCACCCCTCCAGACTCCGACCACATCTACCACACCATCGGAGGAGGGCAGGGCGATCCTCACAGGTCATCGCCACCGACCAATCGAGAGGCCGGAGGCGGAGACTCGGTGGATTTAGGCGACAGAAGCAGGAATTCAGTTTATGCTCAGGTCAGCAGAAAGGGGAGACAGGCCACGCCCCCTGACTGTATACCTGAGGTGGTACAGGTGGTGGAGGAGGAGCCTTCACCTCCGCTGCCTGACAGGAAGACGGAGATGGAGGGATGACGGACGAAAGGACAGAGGAGAGAAGGAGGGACGGCAGCTAAAGGACAAAAAGACAAATTCAGAAAAAGCTGATTCCAGTTTATTTGAACACGAAGAATCATCCAGTTTCTTATTGTTGCACTTGAAAACAACATAATTTCCCATAATGCACCTGGACAGTGTTTTCATAGGCGGAGGGGGATGTTAATGTGTGAAAGTGGTGAAATGCCCCTTTAAAGAAAGACACACTGAAGCTTTAAGGCCCATAAACAGTATATAATAATCAATAGCTGCTGATCACTTTCCAATCACTGATCAATTGATTTGATCCCTACGTGTCCAGAACACAGTGTTGTTGGGGAACAGGAAGTCTGTTGATTATACATTGATGTTTGAGTGAAAACACACAGAGGTCTGTTGGTGGTTGCTACGGTAACGGGATGAAGAGGGGCGGAGTCTCAGACAAACCTTTCACATGCGGGTCAGCTGGATTGTGATGACTCATCAGATCATCAGTGACCTCTGGTAACCTCTGGATGGAGACACCGTCATCCTGTTTGTCACGTCTGTTTCTTCTCCACGGTTTCAACATGTCATGTGATGGCTCTGACGTCTGCAGGCTCGTGATTGGTCCATTCTCTGTGACACATCAGAAATGAGTTTAGCTGAATCATCTCGTCTTTTCTCGTTAGTTTCCGGTAAATATGTTTAAGTTTTAGTTTTAATTTTCAGACTCTTCAGAACATTTTAAAGGTGAAATGATGAGATGAATGAATGAATGAACTGCTGAGAGATTAAATTATGTTTCTGCTGTTTGTCTTTATCAAATGTAAAATGGTTGTTGCTTTTCATGATAATAAAATATATAATGAAGGTTGGCGTTGCATTCAGTCAATTTTCTTCATATATTCCTAAAAATTGTGTTTTTTTCTCTCTCAAAAAACATTGTTAATTCTCATATTACGACTTTATTCTTGAAATATTATGACTTTTTCTTGTAAAATTACAATTTAAAAAAAAAAAATTATGATTTTATTCTCAAAATTTCAGACGACTCAATGTGGCCCTAATACTTCATCGTATGTTCACACTGACTCTTTGTCTTCATCAGCTGCAGCTTTAAGTTCATCATGTCCAAACAGGAATTGACTCTTTAAACTGAGAAAGTGTCGATTCAACTAAATATCTTGCATTTATTGAGCTTATTTTCTCAAGTTCAGTTAGTTTTACAATTTCAAAACTTATCACGCGACATTGAAGCAACTATTTAACCTACGTTCACTTCACTCATACTGTTAATGTGAACTTTAAATGATTTACAGTCTGAAACATCAGGATAAAAGTTCCAGCATTTAGAAAGTCATGATGAGTCAGAGCTGCTGAGTCACTGACATCCCAATGTAACTGTGTGTGTGTGTGTGTACGTGCGCGCGTGCACGTGCGCATGTGTGTGTGTGTGTGTGTGCGCTGTAACATCCTGCTGTGACTAACTGAGTCAGGGTTCAGCAGAGCGGTTTGGTGGATGAGTGTGAGTGTGCACGTCGACCACGTCCATCAGCAGTCAGAAAGTCGTTTACTGTGTGTTTTTATTCTGAGAGACGACGACAGCCAAGACACACACACACACCAAAAACTGCAGCTCATGCCAAACGTGCTGAGGTCAGAGGTCAGAGGGGACATGGAGACAAACTGTTGGTATAGAGAAAGGACGGACTTTTACTTTTCATGTTACAATGTGAAACAAGATCCCACAGAGCTGCTCTGTGTAATGAGTGTTTTTACATTTTGTCAAGGGGAAATTAGAGCAAAAACAAACAAACAGAGCTGCAACAATAATCGATTTTAGAAATCAATTTGCATCTAGTTTTTGAAAGAAATAACAAAATAACAGTTTGAAACAATTTTTCAAGCAAAAACAACCAAAATCTGAAAGTTTCAGTTTCTCAGCTGATATTGATTTTTGCTGCTTTTGTTTCTTTTACGTCTCAATAAATTAAAAAAAAAGAAAAATTTCAGGTCGTCACTTTTGGTTTTAGAAAACCATTTTTGATATTAAAAATACAAATGTTTAACACACTGTAAAATGTGACAAGTGGATCTTACTTTAAAAAAATCTAGGAAACCATTTGCCTTGAAAAAACTAAGTAAGTATAACTTTTAGTTTTAAGTTCTGTTGACTTTATATTCACTTGTTGACTTAAAGTTTAGTTGTGTTTACTTCATTGTATGATGTTGCTCCAACTTAAAAATGGCATCTAAAATGAATTTGCTCTTTGCTTAAATAAGTTGGTCTGACTTAAGTGAAAAGTTGCGTTCACTCAGTAGAATTTAGGCAACTGATAAATCACTCTTAGATGAATCAAGTCAGTACAACAAAGAATAATTAGGTCCCAGGATTATTTTCTTGTTTTAACAAAATACCATTTTGAGCATCTTAAGCTGAGGAAGCAAGTTAAATTATACAGTGAAAACCACTTTATAAAGTAATAAATTAATAACTGTAGATGCCGATCTGTTTCAGAAGCTGCTGCTACAGCAGACAAAATAATTCCTCAAAAATGATCATACAGTGGAATCAACAACTGTCTAAAACTATTTTATTAAAAACGGAACAGTATAATCTTCATGAAGGAGGATTTACTGCAGGGCTGTTGAGTTAGACTACATCAGTTTTATCTACATGTTCCTAATAAATTGCCAACAGAGTGTATATCAGTAATTGTCAGCTGTATGCACAAGCTGCAAAGAGCCTGACTGGAATCAATTGGTTGCTGTTCTCACCTGTGCACTGACACACCTGGGAGCTTAAAGATGCTCTTTAATAGTTTTATCATATACTATTATTATCACCATATGACATGTTTTACTTCTTCCCATAAAATGTAACTTAACTCGTTTATAGAGACATTTTAACTGACTTACTTTGTACTTTCATTTAAGAACATTTTCACACAGTGATTTTACCTCTACTGCAGTAAAATGTCTTTTCAGTCACGGCAGTGAGTGACCGTTTACGTGCTGACGTCACTGTAGTGTCTCATCGCCAGTCTCTGGAGTTTCTGTTTCCGGTAGAGTTTATTGCTGCTCTATCTGAACACAGTTAATGTTGTTGTTTTCTTCATTACAGTGACTAACTACCTGCTGTACATTTAAACTGACCAGTTCTGCTCCAGCACCCACAGCTCTCTGCTGCTTTCTCTAACTCAGCAGTTGTTTACATGCTGTTCAGATGCTAGCTACATTAGCTTAGCAGTTAGCGCTAGCTACATTTTATTGATCATCAGTAAAAAAAAAAAAAAAAAACACTCCAAACATAGTGCGAACGAATTCACTCAGATATTGGCAGGGACGTGTTCATGTGCAAACCTACGCCCTTGGATCTGAGGCAAAAGTCAGAGCTGAGGTTGGGCCACTCTCACACTGTGTCATGTCATGAACAATCAGATATATGACACACACACACACGCACACACACAGGATGAGTGGTGTCATGACATGTCAGAGTTTTGCTGGTTCTCATGAAGTCATGAGTCTGTCGCCTGCAGCTCTTCATCTCAGTGACTGTTACTGCTTCAAACTGAAGGTGGAGACTTCCAGGATCTAGAGTGGGTCAAACGCCGCTGGGCTACACTGGATCCTGCACTTGGTCCATGAGACCCAGACTGATGTCTCTAAAACCAACCTGTGACTTCCTCCTGCAGAGATACAGGTGACATCATCCACCTGTTTTCAGTAGAACCAAAAATTAATGTGTAAAACTGGTGGACTGCCCCTTTAAAACAACAGACATCGTCCTGATCACTGATAATTAACCAATAATCAACCCTGCTTTATGGTATAAAAACCTGTTGTAGCTTTAAGACGACCGAAGGTGAGGTAAAGAGTTCAGACAGGTGTCCGTATACTTTTGGCCAGTGGATCCAGACTGGGATCCCTCCACAGCTGCAGCCATCACCATGGAAACCAAACTGAGTGAGCAGTGAACCAGGAGAGAATCAGACTGTTGAGAGTTAATCAATGAGCTCACCTGATCGCCGCTCAGCGATGTCATCATCAGCTGATCAAACAGAGGTGCATGCTGGGTGATCACAGGGTGACTGAACCTGAAATCAGAACCAGAAAGTTTTCAACACACAAGGAATTTGTTTTGGTCTTTTGGTTCATACCAATAGAAAGAAACAAAGATGAAACAGGCAAGTACTGCAGGTCAGATACCTTCAATACAAAATCCAAAAATTTAACAATAAGGTGAAAGAATATTATTTATTTATAAATATGTACAATACAAATATGTATATATAGGCTATATAAATGACTGGGGGCATTTTAAACTTGTTGAGTCATTTAACATAAAAACATAAATAATAAAACATCAAGTGACACAAGATGAACTTTAGTTTCCAGTTTCTTTCTCCTGTAAAAGCAAGAAATGTGTTCTTTTCTTAGTTAGCTAATTTGTTAGTTTGTTTATTTGTTAGTTAGTTAGTTAGTTAGTTAGTTAGTTAGTTAGTTAGTTAGTTAGTTAGTTAGTTAGTTTGTTTGCTTGTTTGTTTGCTTGTTTGTTTGTTTGTTTGTTTGTTTGTTTGCTTGCTTGTGGGTCAGACTGTGTTTCTGACTGTAAACATGGCGGACTGCTCCTTTAGTCGCAGCACGTTCAGCAGTATCAGCACGTAGCTCACGAGAGTGAAGCGTCGGTGTGCGTATGTGCTACGTGCGGCTCCACACACACACACACAGACACACACACACACACAGACACACACACACGCACACACACACACACACACACACACACACAGGGAGGGGGGTGGGAGAGGCAGAGTCAGAGCCGGTTATGTAATCAGTGAGCGGCTGATCTCCGCCCACAGGCCGCTCTTTGTTATCACTGTTACTGCACCTACAGTAACACAACTACACACAGTACTGCGGTACACGCAGTAATACTGCTTACAGTATTCAAACTGTGTAGAGATGAAAGTTGCGACTAAAACCTGGAGAAAGTGAAAACAAAGCGACATTCAACAGTTTTGAATCTTTATTGTGAAGCTGATCAGTTACATTGTTCTGACTGTTCATGTGATTCTCTGTTAAACACAGAAGCTGCACTTATATTGTAGTTAATCAGGTTTGTGTAGTACACATAATCACTGTAATACTGCGTGTACTGTGTGTACTTTGATTGGTTTATACTTGTGCAAATACTAAAAATAACTGCTGTTTTAGCACAGACGCACTGGGAGCATCGCAGCAGTGTTACAGATGTGTTACAGATGTGTTACAGATGTGTTACAGTGGTGTTGTGGGTGACTGGAGGACTGTGGTGAACAGTAACAGTCAGTTGTGTTCAGGCTCCTTCAGTGCAGAGGAACAGTCAGTAAACAACAGTCCTCTGTGGGGTGTGTTCCTGCACGGCTGAGCTCCGCCAATCATGGCTCGCCTCCTCCCCCACGTGGTTCTCTTGTTTACTACGGAGCGGAGAGCCGCCGTGGAGGCTGCTGGGAAAACCCGGAGCAGGATCTCATGGAGGAGGATCACAGTAACTGTAAAGATTTAGTCTCAGAATGAAATGAAATAACCGGGACATTTTCCAGCTTGTGACCCCGTCATGACCCCGGGTTAAGTTTAATAATAATTTAAATAATAAATAAGTTATATGTTATAATTTGTTATTTATCTTGTTTACCTTTTTTTTTATCTCTCCACAGATTTCACCAATATTTTCTACTGTATGAACTAGAGCTGCAGCTAATCAATATTTTCACCACTGATTTAATCTGTTAATCGTTTGTTCTGACAGTGAAAATCTTCATAATGAAATCAAACGTAACATTAATCTATTTTTTTTTACTTGAAAAAAAAGAAGATATTTTATCAATTATCAAATTAGTTGCGATCAATTAATTGACTACATGTTGCAGCTCTGGTCTAACAACAAATAAATACATTATTTGAACAAACAAAATCAGATCAGACATTTTATTTTGTTTTATTTTCCACATTCATTGTTTAACTGATCAGTGTCACATTAAAGTCATGTTGATCACATGTTGATATTGATCACATGTTGATATTGATCACGTTAATGTTGACCACATTAGATCCGCAGAATAATGAGCCTGTGTTGTTGTGAGTCCTGAGAGCAGCTGGTCTGTTCCAGTCTGATCCAGGATCCAGTCCAGGTTTTGTGTGACGCCCCTCCCTCCCCGATGGTGTTCAGACTGGCTGCAGCCTGCAGCACACACACACACACACACACACACACACACACACACACACACACACACACACACACACACACACCCTCAGCTCTCATTGAGGAGCAGTGGACACTCAGACTGGACGTGTTGTTGTTCTTGTGTTGGAGCTTGAGACTCTGCAGGTAAGTGACAACTGGTGCTTCACCTCTCTGCCTCTCTCTCTCTCCTCACGGCGTCTCAGAGTCTCTGACTTCATCTGACTCCATGTGAAGACTTTACATGTTGTTTTACATGAGCATGTTTCAGCAGCAGCTCCTGCTTTAGTCACTGTGACAGTGATCGGTGACAGAGAGGAGTGAGTGACTGAACACTGAGCTGCTGCTGAACTTTACAGAGACTCAACTTCACCCTCTGTCCCTTCTCTGTTACTGAGCTGTGTTCATCCACATGATTTATAGATCACATGTTTTTAGCCCTTTCTGCAAGAGAACAGTTGATCTGCTGCTTTTCTCTGTCTGTAGCCTGAATGTTGTTGTTGTTGTTGTTGTTGTTGTTGTTGTTGTTGTTGTTGTTGTTGTTGTTGTTGTTGTTGTTGTTGTTGGGAACTAAAGATCAACACTTGGCACCATTTGACTCAGAGACTGACAGAGAAAATAACGGTCTGACTCGGAGCTGTTTTTGTGTCCATTCAGGACTCTTATTGTGGAGGGTGTGAACTCAGCACTGAAGGAATCTGATTGGCTCAAAGCTCGAAACAGCAGACAAGACAAGGGGGTGTGTTCATACAGGTGTCTGGTGTGTGTTGCTGTGTGTGTGTGTGTGTGTGTGTGTGTGTGTGTGTGTGTGTGTGTGTGTGGCTGTTTTAAACTTTAAAACACTTAAAAATCACTGGGACACCATCAGCACTGAACCAGAACCAGAACCAGAACCAGTGAGTCGGAACCAGTCAAAGATACAGGTTATTAGTTAGTCCATCTATTAATGTTATTTTTCATGTTACCTTTGGTTATTTAAACTAAATCTAAATTTAAATAAATGTTACACACAATTATTTATCAGGTTCTTGTTCTTGAGTATTTTCATTTACTCAGATTTCATTTCAATTTCTACTTTTCCTGAAGTAAAATATCTGAATAACTTTCACAAGTTTGACATGAAACCTGTGACAAAATGTTGTGAGTTGTTGTGCAACACAATGTGCACACATTAGAAAACCTGTGAGGGACACATGTTGTAACGATCAGAGATGAGTTTAAAAAGAGGATGAGCTGATTAGAAGTGTTTTAGTTTGGGTCAATGACCCAACAGTGACATAAGAAACCCCTGGATCAGTGATCGGTTCAGAATCCTTCCAAAGTAAAAGCACAGAAGTATCATCAGCCAAATTTAGTATAAAAGTTCTTGTTGTGCAGAAAGTCGGCCCAGTCAGAGTTAAACATTAATTTATCTGACAATATTAATTATTGATCATTTTACGTTGCAGCCGCTCCAGGTGGAGCTGAGACAGTTCAGTCGAGGGGTCGGGCCCCTCCCGAGGGTCGCCAGATCAGAAAAGGGGAGATGTAATAAGAAGTAAATAAAATAGAAACAGAATCTGAAATAAATAAGATAAAACAGAAATACTATATACAATAACAATACGAACTTCCCCTCAGGGATAAGTGAAGTATCTGGTGCCGGGTGTTTCTATATTGATCCAGTGTTTGTGTTTATGTTTATTTAAAGGTGTTTATGTGTTTGTTTGTTCTGAAACTCATTCTGTGACTCACTGATTAACAGGAAACCTTCAATGGGGAGGGAGGGGTGGGATGGGGTGGATGTCATGTTTTACCATGTTGCCACGGCAACACAGTTTAGTTAATTAGTTGTAGTTTAGTTAATTATCGTTGTTGTCAACAGATGCACAGTGATAAAGAAATAGATGAACAGTTGAACCCATCTGTTCTGTTTACTTTAATCCACACACACACACTCAGCGTACTGACTGTAAATGACACTGCAGCCTGTGAGTCACCGTGATGTCACTCAGATCTGTGGAACATAGAACAGATCTGACCGGCAAACTTAATCCACAGCTTCAGATTTCCCAGCAGCCACTGCACAGCTGCTGAAGTCACGTTGCACTGTGGGGGGAGGGGGGGGGTGTCTAACCTCACTACTGTTGGGTCCTGAGCGACGTGTCTCCTTGTTCATGGAGATGTGTTTCGACACATATCTGAAACAAACAGGAAACAGAATCCACCTCACAACTTGGATGAAATTAAATTTGAGACGGTTCTTTCACTGCTTCACTGAACTGTGATTTTCATTCTCCATTAAAGTGGTCGGACGGTTTTATATAAACCTGTCTGCACATGACTTATTCTGCTTATTCAGCTGAATAACATGAAAAAGAATCATTTTGTGATTTCAGTTGGAAAGATCAATTTCTTTCATTTTGACTGAAAAGAATAAAAATGATGATGATGTGATTCTTGTCTTGTACCAAACAAACATGTTTCTTTACATGTGGAGAATATGATTTGCAGGCCGGGGCACCACAACACTGATGCTGCTAACAATGCTAATGCTAACAATGCAGAGCGACGAGACACATTTTGACTTCACTAAAAAAAGAACTGCAGCTCCTGTGATTTGGAAAATGCACTTGGCCGTCTCCAAGTCAACAGTCACTACTCTGACAGAAACACTGTCTTCTTGGACATTATGCTGGATTTGTCTTGTACAGAACTTTACCTCAGTATGTTCAGCAGCAGCAGCGTCGCTCTGTGGTCCGTCTCCCACTCCGGTTCAGACTGAAACGACTACAGGAGCCTCCATAGTTCCCTTTATATCCCGGTGATGAATGACTGAAGCCGCTGTTTCTCCTCCATCAGACGGACATGTTGCCAAAGACTCGTCTGGGGAAGCGTTCCCCGCTCGGAGCGTTGGTGAGCTCCACCTGTCCGGTGGCGGCAGGAGCACACATGCACCTGGAGACGGGTGAGGCCGGCGTCACCGTGGCAACGGCAGCAGGACAACAGGCCTCCAGCAGAGTCAAAGGTCATCCTGGGCTGAAGGTGAGTCACATTTTCTGTCCAGTGCAGCAGAAATAAACATTTATTGTTAAACACGGACAGAAAATCCCAGAGCCATGTTTCAGTTCCTCCGATGGACATGATGATGATGATGATGATGATGATGATGATGATGATGATGATGATGATGATGATGATGATGATGAAATCCCCCTGTGGGAAACTCACAGACAAAAAGACGTTATGTTTGGGGAAGTTTGTCTTGACTGACGGTGTTTCTCCCTCTCAGGTGTATTTCCAGTGCGGGGGAGGGGGTGAATCCCCAGCAGTGGCGGATCAGCTGGACCTCATGCGCAGTGATGTTTCTGCCTGGTCTTCATCTCATCCCTCCTCAGTGCCCCTGTCCAGCAGCAGGTCTGTCTCGTCCTGCATCGACGTCCCCAGGAGGTCAGACATCTTCTCTGTCTCTGTCTTTTGTCTCTCTACATATTTTTAAGAAGCAGATTCTCACCTCGGTCTCCTCCCGTCTCTGTTTCCTGTCCTCCTGCAGTCAGAGGAGTCCAGAGGAGGTGGACATGGACGAGCTGATGGCAGCGATGGTTCTCAGCAGTTTGTCCTGCAGCCCTCTGCTGCACAGCCCTGTGACCCCAGACCCAACAGGTACAACAACAAACACCAACATCAACTAGAATCACCTCCTTGTGGTCGTATCCCTCCGCCACTCAGACTAGTTCCAGGTTACATCCTGTTTATCCAGAGTCAGAGAAAATATTTGCCATTTGTGTGAAATCACATAATTGCTGTGAAGTCTTGAGTTATGGCTAAAAAGTGTTTGGTGATGTCACACTGACCTAGACCTTTGACCCTTTGACTTGAAGAAGTCCATCAAGGCCTTGCTAAGATATCGTGTCATGTGACGGGATCCTCTTGAAGAGTTCTTGAGATATCGCATTCACAAGACCAAAGTTGCAATTTGTGAGGTCTCTGTGACCGTGATCTTTGACCTCTGACCTCCGACCATCATAGTCTAATCAGGTCATCCCTGAGTCCTTGTGAAAATTTGTGCCAAATTTGAAGAAGTTCTGTCGAGGAGTCACTGAGATATCGTGTCCATGAGAATGGGATAAATCTACGGTATGAAAACCTGTTGTGATGTTGTGATGTCATCGCAGCAGCCATGACACCTGTCAACATGCTGACCACACCCACCTACGGACTCAGTCTAAATACTAAACATTGTGTGTCTCAGCGGCTCTGACGGACTCCGGCGGCAGCGACCTCTCTGACAGCAGCAGCAGCGGCTACTGGAGCGTCGGCCGCACCAACGGGAGCCCGGACCCCTCTCCACCAATCGCAGAGCCCGACGTCAGCCCGACCACGCCCCCCGACGAGGGCCTGGACATGGAGCTGGAGGAGGTGTTCGACGAGCCGGCGCCGCGGAAACGCAAGGTGTGCGCACACAAGCACGCACGCACGCACGCACACACACACACACACACACACACAGGTGAGCGCTGACGGCCTGTTTCCTCCTGCAGAACTCGGTGAAAGTGGCCTACAGGTGTCTGTGGCCCAGCTGTGGGAAGGTGCTGACGTCAGTTGTGGGAATCAAACGTCACATCAGGACGACACACCTGTGGTAAGACTCACCTGACAGATGCTTCTAATCTTCATGTGTTTTTTATGGAAGATCATTTCTGCCAAAAAAGATGAAGGAATAAAAATGTCACATCAATGGGAAATATTATAATTTTTATTTTAAGCATCTTCGTGTCTTTAGTTTGAGTTTTATCTTCTGGAAGCATCAATGAGGCAAAGTGGACTACAATAAAACCTGGATCTGTTATTTATGGAAGTTCAGTTCTGCCATAAAAAACAAAAGCTGAGAAAAAAATATTAAATGAAAATTAAATAAATAAGATAAGATAATAAAATAGTCATGATAATTCAAAATTATGTAATAATTTGAAATTGAAAATAAAAGTAGAGTCAAAATCTAATTCATACTAACAGTGTAAAATATAAATAATTAATAGTTAAGTTAATTACTTGTAAATGTACCACTTTTATTTTATCTATAATGAGTCCAGAAAACTTCCGGGGACTTTTAGACCTTTAGTGATTTACAGAATAAAGCACCTTATTTTATATTGTAATATTAATTTAAATTGTGCCTCATACTTTTGAAAATCAATTAAATGAAATAACAAGGTTTTTGGATAACTGAGCAAATTACATACCTGATGAATCAATGTTGCAATAAGATAGAAGGGTAGTTTAATTTTTTTATTGTTTAAGTTCTGATGTGACCTTTGACCTTTGACCCCCCAGCCGTGGAGGTGAACACGAGCGTTGTTCTCGCAGCGAGGAGGATTTTTATTACACTGAGATCATCCAGAGGGACCATCATCAGTTCATCATCATTCATCATCATCAGCAGCAGCAGCAGCAGCAGCAGCATTCCCTCCTCTCTGGTCCCGCCTCCCCCTCCCCCACCGCCTCCTCTTCTTCCTCACCCTCCTCACCTCCCCAGCCTCCCCCTCCCTCCCCTCCATCCCCCCCATCTCCAACCTGTGGTACTCTGAGTCACTCCGCCCCCTCCTCCTCCGGCAGCCTCCTGCAGGTCCAATCAGAGCACTCCTACCAGGTAGGGCGGGGCTTATCAACAGTGACTGACAGTTAGTGCAGGATGCATAGTTAGTCTTTAAAATAATAAAACATCACAAAGTGTTTTCTTGTAAAGAAACACATCCTGTGTTTTCTTGAGCTCATGTTAAATAAATCCAGATGATTTATGACAGTTTTTGATCATGAGCTTGAACATGTAAAATACAAACAAAATGGAGACCCCCTCATAAAAAACATGGCTCCATACGCTGCTACTGCAGGTCAAAAACTTCACACGGTGACTTTCATAAATGTAAAAAATGCAAAACTCAGAACATATTTTTTCTCTTATGTATTATTTTGAACGATTATGTCTCTGTGTGTATAAAACAGAATATTTAAATTAAACAGTTTTATACTTTTTTTAGGCTCTGCCTCCCAGCCATGTGATCTCAGCAGCAGCTTCCAGCACAGCTTCCTGTCGTTCGATGGCCCCTCCCACCACCTGCCACAGCAGACAGGTAAACAGCCATCATTTTTATCTGATCTAATCCTGGTACAAGACTCTGCAGGGAACAGGACCGACGACTCTTTTATAAGGGTTGGTGATCGATTCTCAGGGAAGTGAGGTTGGTTTCCTCGTACCTGAACCTGAACTGTAACCACTTATCTCAGGAGAAAGGTATAAAATGTTTCATGGTCGTGATGTACAAAGCCGTTGTTTTTGACCTGAATAACTGGAATCAAACAAATTGAATCATTGATCTGAAGATGACTTGTTTTGTCTGATCAGCTGATCGTCACCAGACCAAGAGTGAATGGGACGAAACAGAGTTTTGTTTATTTTAGCATTTAGCAACTGCAGCGCCCACGAGGCTTTGACTCATGGGAAATTAAAAGTTGTTATTGTTATTAAATGCTTGAAGTGTTTAACGTTTGAAAACGAGTTGTTTACATGGTGAGTGTTTCTAACGAGGAGGAAATAACCGTCTGTCACGATGAATAAAACAAAAAAGTCCAGAAAAGTCCGAGAAGTGAAATTTGAGATTCTCTGTTCGTGTCCTACACGGAACAAACATGTCAGTGTGGACTTTCACTGAGATTTACATTATTCACTTATTACTGGACATCCCCAAAACACACACACACACACACACACACACACACACACACACACACACTTCTCCAATCCAGTTCTGTTTTCAGTCTGAATCCTGTACAGCAGTCTATTGTTGATTTCCTGCACCAGCCCAGAGAAGCCTGTTAAAACTGGTTTTACACTGGAGGGGGGGGGGTATGTGTGCGTGCGTGCGTGCGTGCGTGCGTGCGTGCGTGCCTGCATGTGTGCGTTCCTCCCTGATGGTTTTTATCCGGCAGGAAAATCCCCTCAGATGGTTTGTGGTCACATTTTCCATCAGTGTGTCACTGAGCAGTGCTGCCACCTGCAGGCCGACGCAGGAAACTGCAGCCTGTTTTTACAGCCACAACAAAGGACATTAAAGCAGCAGCAGCTCACACATTATTATTATTTTATTATTACAACACGAAGCATCAGACAGCAGAGGAACTGATGAAGAAAATAAATCAAACACCCACTCTGTCTCTGTCTCTGTCTCCTCCTCAGGGCTTGTCGTTTCGGGTGCGTTCGATCAGTGTAGGAGAGCAGTGGCTGCAGCATCAGAGCGCCCCCTGCAGGTCAGTACTGGTACTGCCGTACTGTTGCACAAAACACCCTTAAGTTTCCTCCTTAAAGTTTCCTTAAAATGTTCACTTAAGTATTTGAGGTTTCTTCCTTATCTTTGTATTTAAGGAATCTTTAAAGTCAGTAAAACCTGTGCAGAAATTGAACCTTAAGTGATATATTTAAGTAGAAAACTTAAGGTGTTTTGTTCAACCAGCCCCAGGATTTTAACAGCCAGAGAGACATTTGATAATATTAACAGTATCAATCTCTCTCTCTCTCTCTCTCTCTCTCTCTCTCTCTCTGTATGTGTGTGTGTGTGTCAGGAGGGTTCGTGGTGAAGCAAAGAAGTGTCGTAAAGTTTATGGCATCGAGCACAGAGATCAGTGGTGCACGGCCTGTCGCTGGAAGAAAGCCTGTCAACGCTTCCTGGACTGAGTAGAGAGGAAGAGGAGGAGGAAGAGGAGGATGAGGCGGAGGAGGAGGGAGGAGGACGATGAACAGAGACGGACTGTTGACAAGTAGCTGAACTTCACCTGGTGGATGTTTTATACTTTCTTACATCTGAAACCAGACATTATTTTTTTGTCTTTATACTCTTTCTACGTTTTCTAGAAGTGTCTTTTTTAAATTTTTGAATGTGTATCTTGTTGCTGTGTCATCTCACACAACCTGCGTCCTGTCGGTGCTTTTTGATGACATACGATGTGACCTTTGACCCGGTCACCTGTTGCGCTCCTCAGGTCATCTGAACTGAACCAGCCTCTGTGTCGGGATGAACACATACTACTTCAACAGCACACGCTCGGCTCTGATTCGTCGAGACTGGAGTTTAATGATACGCCCACATGTGTGTGTCCGGACAGCATCGACCTCTGAGGAGACCTGCTGCGAATTCATCTAAATATCCAGAATAGCAGACTCGTTAACTCAGCGCGGTGACGGCAAGTCTTAATTATGAACAGTTTAGAGAATTGAAGGTGGAGTTAACAGCCCCCCCCCCACAGTGTCTACAAAGCCAAAGATGAATAGGAGTGGGTCACTGGGTCTTTACAGTTACCCGTTAGCTCCTGCAGTTCACCTAGCAGCCCTGGGAGTCGTCACTAAAGTCAGTATCATCAAAGAAACAGATTATTATTCATATTCATTGGGTGAAAAGTCTTTCCCTGTAGCTTCAGCAGTATGTAAATATTTCCCTCCAATAACAAGCCGCATTTTATTTTACCGTGCTCAGAGCTAATGCTAACGCTAAGAATCAGAACTAAAAAACTAAATACATGTTTGATAAAAAAAACAAAAAAACTTACTGTTGGAGTTGTCGGGACGTCAGATTCGAGGTTTTAAAGAGTCTCATTGGTGCTAAACAGGAACCAGGGTGTCCATGAGGAGCTGACTCAGGATCAGCTTCAGTCAGTGACGGTTCGGCCTCCGTTCCTCCAGGTTTTGCAGCTAACCTTCAGATGCAGTTTCTCAGTGTTTCAGGACGTTGGCATCAGTCAGCCTCTGGTCCAGTGACTCAGTGTGTTGACTGCTGATCTTAATCAGTTCATTTATTCTGGTCCCTCCATTATTTCACCCACCAGCGGTGGTCTGGCTCGAGCTGTATGACGTCTTCTGTGGCAGCGGAGGAGAAAAGAACAAGGTCACAGTGATGTCCTCAGGTCATCTCAGACCCAGGGATTACAGATCTATAGCATTCGTGACACACTGTGGTGTTTAAAAGTTTGACACAGGCAAAGTCGGCAGCTGCCCCAGGACCTTATAGACGTCCCGGGGCAACGAAAGCTCCAGGATGAGCCCTGTATTAACTGGAGCTAATTAGCTCATTTGTCTTGGTGTCGGCATCATTGAAGTACAGAATAAATACTAAATCTTCGTCCTGTGGCTCTGGTCTTGGAGAGATCCAGACCAAGTTTCAAACTGTTCTCACACTGAGCATATTCCTAAATGAAGTTGTGGCTTTTCCTGGACCTTTAAGGAAAACATAAAGCTGCCATGTAAATAATTCACTATCCAGCTGCACTGTGAGACATTCAGTGTTGTCAGGATGTCTTCACCTCCGTGGCTTCGATTTTGACCAAACACTAAATCACTGCAGACACATTCTCTGGTTCTACTGTAAAGTTTATTCTGTTGGAGTAAAGTTTGTTGTTGGTGTTTGATGGAGAAAACGAGAGGAAATCAAAAAAGACTAAATTCATCTTTGATGTTTACCTCTTCTCCCCTTATTTAACATTTATAAACAGGATATAAACGATTATTAGACAATTGTGTTTATTAATGTATTTGCAAACGACACTAACTTCTCCTGTGAACACACACAAGTGGAGCCTGCTGTATAAAATACTTTACATTAATAAGCCCTTAAACTGTCCTGACAAGCACATTATACTGTTATAAAGCATTTATTCATGTGTTTATACAGATTATAAATGTTAAATGAGTTGTTAAAGGGGGTTAAAGTAAATTAAATTCAAGTTATTCAAATAAAATTAGAGAAATAAGTCAGTCCTGATAACCAGTCTGAATGTTTGGAGTCAGTGCAGCTTTAATACATGTAGATCTGTTTTTAAATGTGTTGGTGCATCAGGGCTTTTAAAACTGCAATAATTCACACTGTTTTATTTTGAAGCCATCGATCGTTTCATCACGTCAGGTGACAAAATCTTTAAATTTCTCCCGCCGTTACCTCGTCTGCATCTCCACTGATTAACAGATAATTATCAGACTTCACTGTAAATGTCATCACCACTCTGCGCCTCTGTTCACTTCCTTCAGCTTCAGCTTAGACGTTTTATTGTTTGGAAACAGAAGCCATTTCCTCTCTGATGAAACCACATGCAGTATTGATCAAGACGTCTGTTTAAGTACAAATAAAAACACACACATACACACTCACTGAGACGTATATATTTGATGAATTCCTAGTGTATATACACAGATATATACTGGGCCCATATCTACAGTGAAGTCTATTCCAGAAGCCATTTTATACTTCAGTCATTTGACGGTTGATTTGCAGTAAACTGAGACAAAGTTGTGTATTTATATTCTATGTGTTTAAGAGACGTTAATGTTGATCATTGTACCTGTACCATTTTTAAGATGCACTCTTTTATACATGATGTGAAATCCTGATGTTGTTATAATAAAGTGGAAAAGCTTTGACTTTGCCTCATGGCTCTGATGATTTCGCTTTATCTTTCTTTTCTTCTGTGTTTATTGTTTCGCACCAAAACAATGAAGCATATTCTTCGTATGTGAAAATCTACTTGACATTAAACCAGATGCGGATGATGTGGTCTGTAGTGTGGTGGGAAGGTGTAGTGAGGATTATTAGACGGATCAGTTATTACCAAGATTTATCCTCCATCATGTCCGCACAGAAAAACATAAATGCTGACTGATGAAAAGAGCAACCTCGGTTCACGACTGTCACGTGACTCTTCACAGGAAGTGGTTAACGAGTCAATTAGGGCTGTGACTACATTATTTTATCAATTAATCATTTGGTCTATAAAATGTCAGTTTGGTTTTTTATGTAAAAAGAAAAAGACAAGAAAAGAAAGAAAAATAGGATTTGTTGTCCCGAGGTAACGAGATAATCATCCCATTATCTCGAGACAACAAATCTTGTTTTCTCTTTATGATTACTTTGTTAATTAGAGATCAGATGCAAATGGAAACTTATAGAGCTGTAAATTGAAAATGTCAGGACAACGCATTGATCAACGTATCAGAGAACATTTCAATCAAGATCATTTTCACATCAGTCCTCGTCAGCTAACGAGTTACTCAGGAGCGTTGCTGCGATTTAGTGTCTGAGGTCAAGGCAAAATTATTTTCTCCTAATAATATCTCGTTATCTTGGGATAACAAGCTTTGTTATCTTGAGATAACGTCACATGACTCCTCACAGGAAGTGGTTAACGAATCAATTAGAGCAACTAAATTATTTCCTAGATTTATCATTTGGTCCATAAAATGTCAAGGATCTTGATTTTTTTAAAGTTGAAAAAATAGGGAAAAATACTTGGAACAGTTTCCTGAAGTCAACGATGACGTCATGAAACTTTTCAGTTTACTATACATTAGACAAAGCAGCAAAAGTTAACAGTTGAGGAGCTGAGGCTCCTAATAGAAATTTAGTTTCATCATCATTATTCAGCTTGAACGAACCAATTAGAATCCTCCGTGTGTTTTAAATAAAGTTTTTATTAAAGATGATTCAGCTCAATTATAACAGCAAACTGAACACAAACTCCTGTAAACTGATAATAAAAACAAACTGATGCAGGTACAGTGACTGGTCCACTCTGACACACACACACACACACACACACACACACACACACACACACACACACACACACACACTCCCTTCTCAGCTGTGGCTCTGCTGTAATAAATTATATGTACAGTCCAGGTCCATCTGCGGCTCCAACCGACACCGAACACACGAGGAGAGACGCCACTCTGCGACGCTGGAGCCGAGTCTGCAGAAAGGAAGAACAAAGTGACGTTAAATACAGGAAAAAAAGAGAAGAAGAGAGAGCAGAGAGGAGGATTATGGGACATGTAGTCTTATATCATGACATACAAGAAACTAAACGGAAAAACTGCTTGTGGAGAAAATGAGAGTCAATTAAAAAGCAAAGTATGTCATTACATTGATCCAATGATATTACAATAAATCAGACCTGATCATTGATTTGTGACATCAGGTGTATGATCACCTGGTGGAGCATGTGACATCACAGCACAGGTGTGTCAATGTGAAATATGAAACATGAGTAAATTTATTACTAACCATTTATCGGTTTTGTTCTGGGTCGACTCGCTCTTTCCGTCACAGGCCACAATCTTGACCTTGTCGACCTTCACCAGGTCGGTGACCTCTCTGAACTCCACGTCGTTCAGAACAAACGTCCACACGTTGTCGCAGAACCTGTAGGTGTTGAGAGAGCCCTGTGGGACGGAGACACGGTGACCCAGTTACGCACCAGTCCAAACAACTCAACACGGTTACAGTTCACAAACATCCTGAAACATCCAGGGAGTCATCACTCTATGTTTAATTGACCCTGATCCGAGTCCTTTAAAGTTGACGCCTGACAATATGAAGTTCAATATGTATAAATAAATATGTATCTGACATATTGAAATAAATGTCGGAGGAACTCACCCTGAAGTTGACTCTGTTGCGGACTCTGTTGGCGAGCGCTGTATTGATGGCTTTGTCGAACTGGAGGAGGACCTGAAGAGCCAGCTGAGGAGTGATCTGCTGAGTCTGAACACACACCAGATTTCACTTAACGTCCACACACACTCACAGACAGTGTTGTACAGTTCACAAGCAGCAACTCCTAATCCAAACAACACAACCTTCATTAATTAACACATTATATCTCGCTTGTTTAATTTCAGGTAGGGTTGCACCGATCTGCATTAAACACTTGATTATTTTCTGCTCTCGGCAGTGAGAGAGCAGATACAAACCGATGAAAAGACCAAACCGACCTTGAATGTCTCCCACTAACAAGTCCTGTGTGTATCTATATCCTGACATACAGTATCTTAATCCTCTGAGCCATAGAGCTCCTTATGGTGCAGTCAGACCAAGATCCACCTGGTGAAACTTACTCTGGTACTGTGGCCAAAAACAGGAGGGGGGCAGGAGATAGCATCACTGAAAGGCTAATAACAGCAGTCCACAAAGCTGTTAAACTACATGTGTATCAGACTATTTACTGTCATTAACCTCTGTCACTGTCCTCACACTCACTGCAGCATCTCTCCTTCTGTGCTGCTTGTATTATTTTGTGCATAAATATTAAACAAGAATTTAAGGGTTAGGGTCAAACAATACTTTCTGAATGAGAGCTCAGTCTCAGCCTATCTATCTCCAATCGGCTGGATGTCAGAGAGGCTTGCAATTTTGTGGGTCAAAGTTGAGTAAGATTTAACTCAGACGCATCAGTTGGTGACAGGAAGTGAACGTGTCTCGCTATGTTTCAAGTTCTGTCAAAAGATTGTGAAAGTGATCACTGTGAATTTCTAAATAAACTACAGCATAATACAGGAACATGTCACTCAGGGAAAGTCAAATATTAAAAACACTTTGTTTCTAATAGTAGACACGTCCCCCATGTCTGAACTACACAGCAATGACCTAGATACAGGAGGTAAACAGTGCATCCCTGAGCTGGACCTTCACAGATCCTGGACCAGTTCTCATACTGGGTCTGTGTATGTTACCACTGCTGTAGGTGACTAGAACCCTGTCTAGTAATAAATAAATTATCAGGAAGATACCATAATTATAATAATGATCTTTAATTCACCAGTTATTGTGTCACTAACAAACATTAGTTTAGCTTAGGCTAGCTAGCTAAACTGTTTACTGTTTACATACAGTTACTGTTAACTCCACAGTTGCTCCTTAATATGTCAACACTACAGACAGAAAACATGAGAATATTTATGTTAACTTCTGAATTAATAGCTGAAGCAAACCGCAGCTACCAAGGTATGGTTAGCCAGGTATGAGCTAAACAGCGTAACTGACCGTCGTTGTTGCCGTTAGAAGCGCGCTAATCTGGGCTAGCTACGAGCTAGCAGCCATAATGTGTGATGTGTGTCACCTGTATGAGCTCGTCCAGACTCTCCTGTAGACTGTTTCCCAGAGTGGTGTTCCTGTACAGCTGGTACGCCATGGTGGGAACAGCAGAAGGTGCTAATAACTACAGTAAACTATCCTACAAACTCACACGGGGCTCACGGAGCTAACGGAGCTAACAGGGCTAACAGAGCTATCGGAGTTTACGGAGCTAGCCGCTTCCCTCCACTACGTGCAGCTGTGAGCGCCGACAAGCTAACGACACTTCCGGTTAAATATTTCAAAAATAAAAGCCGACGTACATTTTCATACTGCTACTGTCACAAGACTTGCACTAATTCAGACCCTGTCGTTAATAATAATAATAATAATAATAATAATAATAATAATAATAATAATAATAATACAGTATAGAATATAAAATAAAATACAGAAAACTGAACTATAAAATACAAACAAATATACAGTAAAATTTTCATAAAACTTCCCTGAAGTTCCACAATGTTATTATTAAGACTGGATAAAGATTTTATGTTATGATGTGAAACTCTGGGATTTGCCTTTAAAATAAATTTGACCTCCACCACATTGTCTCAGTGTAGACTTCTCTTTATGTCATTGGTTTAACAAACATAATCAAAGTGTAGCAACCAGTCAGGTTACATGTAATTACTCAAATGTAATTATTTAAAATCTGTTTACAAGTCTTTGAAAAAGTTAATTAGCACATCTTGATGGAGATGACAAAAATAAATGAAGCTGGATTAGAGTGTAGAAGAAAACCTGCCATGAAAAGTATTTTCTTTAATGGTGGTGAAAATACAAACAGGAATTCCCATGTTTCTGATGTGACGTTGTGATTTTCAGGGACCCAGGAAGCCACAGGGTGGTGCTCCAACACAGCTATGATGCAGTAGACTGACCTACAGTACATTGTTAGTCTTTACAGATTCACCATAACCAACTGCAAGTACGTGTGCATGCTGGATGCTCAGTCTACCCTGGTGGCACACTCACCATTTAGGGTTAGTCCTTATGCAGTGGCCCTCTGCTGCATGTCTTCCCTCCTCTCTCCCCAGCTGTTTACTTCTTCAATTCACGAGTTTTTACTTGTTTACAAAAGAGAAATTGTCCAAATCCATAATGCAAAATGTTATTTTTATTGTTTTTCAGTTACTTGGAGTGGAACATGTTTATTTATTTATGTATTTATTCATTAATGTATTCATCTATCAATTCATTTGTTTTTGCTTCAAGGAGATCTACGTGTTGGTCGGTTACTTTGACCAGCAGAGGTCGACGTTGAGCTTTGATTTGAAAAACTTTTTTTCATACAAACTGTGTTGAAAGCTTCACTGGCTCGTAAAGCTTCACTTCACCATCACTAAGATACGCCTGCTACAAGACAACACCTTACACAATACAACCAACCTCAATCCAGACTAGATGTGTGAACTGCTGGACCTCTGCCTTAACATCACTAGGGGCGACTAAAGCTTGGCAGAGCTATGGGCTCACCAGTATCTGTGGCAAACCTTCAAATAGAGGAAGGAGAAAGCAGTACCTGAACTCTCAGAGGAACAACACTGTCTTTAATTAAAGACATTAAAGACAACAAGAACCCCCCCCCCACACAGACAAGAACCTAATCTTTGAGCCTCACCACCCACTGAAACACAAGCCAAATAAAAATGAGCTATTTCCACCTTCATGACAAATTGTTTATATATCTCATCTGTTTACATTTTATGAAGGACTAAAGTAATGAAGAGTTGAGGGCGTGGCCTCTTTGAATGACAGGTGAGTGAGCGTATGTTTGCCAACAACCGGTATTCACCGAAGTCTCGGCTCCACACACGCCCTTCTTCTTTGACCCTTTTTAGATTAGCTGGGCATTAGGGGCGGAGTACGGCACTGCCAAGATAGCGACTCTGAGCTTAAGAAACCGATGCCATCTTTATATAGCTACAGCCTATGTGCAAATCCCACCAAGGAATACTTTTAAGGTAAAAGATGGCGTCAGGTTTAATTTCCAATATTTCTTTTAACAGCACAATGTGTGTTGAAAGATGAAAGCAAAACAATAAAAAAAACGTCAGAGTTTCTTCTGAAGTAGTTCAAAACACTTATACTGCTGGACTTAGCTCTACTTCCAAAAGTACTATGAAGTACTTTTACTATGTAGTTTTTGAGCAATCCACAATTAAAGTCCTTTCCAGAGGAGAAGAATAACATTTTCACCTGAATTTGATGTGATCCAATATGTTCTTTGTAGGCGAACTGTAGGGGGTCTAGTGCATGTTCAACCTGTGGCCTCAGAAGATGGAGAACGACGTAGAAAAAAAAACATCAATAGACAAAAAATATACTAATATATACAAATATATTGCAAAAAACTACGAGCTGCCACTTGTTGCCAGTGCATCATTTGAAAGTAGTTCATGATCCTAATATATTTATACTTAGTACTTCTTAGACAACTTGCACAATTACTTTGAAGTACTTTAATTGTGCAGTTTTTGAGTAATCCAAAACCAAAGTCCCTTCCAGAGAACAAGAATGAGAGTTTTTGCCTAACTTTGATGTGAGATAAAAACCATAACAGAATTAATATAAGGAAAAAGTGGGACAGGTTATGAATTAATAATGATGATAATAAGGATAAGTTTTATTTACATAGCAAAAGTTGTTGCGATCAATTTGTCATAATTTCATAAATAATTAAGGATGTAAGAATTGATTTCATATCGGCTTCATCGACAAATTTAATCAAAACAACATTTACATGATAAAAACTGTACATTCTCTCAGTATTTTTCAAAGCTCTTCCTCAGCTTCCTCTAGGTCATTTTGAGGATTTTGAGGGGTTTAAACCGTGGTGCTTTGAGCTAAATGTCTGCTCACATGTTCACAGTCGTGATGGGTGGTGCCCTACATAGTCCACACAGGGTGGACACCACCTATTGGTAATCATGATTCTCAATTGCCCATATTTTATTTTTAAAGACAGGTGTTACACACCACACCTGACACCTGACTTTGTTCTTTTATTACAATCTGGCAAGGATTCACGTGCCAGCACTTTAATTGAGATTTAAATATCTCGTGCCTGAATCATTTTGAACTTTATGCAGTGGTTATGAGTTGCTGTGCTGTGTGGATCCGGAGTGTGTCTCTTCGCAGAGTCCCAACGTAATAACACCTTAAGAGGCCGGCCATTGCCTCTCATGGCCCAGGCCAAAATAAAGTCTGAACTGCAACCATGATGTAGTGCCAGACATCTGCTCTTCCCTCCTTACAACACATCGTTCTGATCTGAAATCTCGGATCTACTGTTTTACATTTGACACATTCACCATTTGACATTGACTTTTTACTGTTTCATTTGTTTTTAGTTGGTTTAGTTTAGATTATTATTAAGTTTGATAATCTGCAGTTGAAACCTATTTACCACTGTAATCACACAGTGACAATGCTGAAATGCTAATGTTTAACAGGCATAATGTTTACCATGGTTGCCACAGTTCAACAGTTAGCATGCAAACATTTACTACTTACAGCTGAGGCTGATGGGAATCCCATTAGTTTTACAGGCATCATGGAGAAAAAATTTTAACTGATGATGGTAAAAAAAAAAAAAGAATTAAAATGAAAAACGTTTAAAATAATTCAAAATAAAAGTTATTACAGTTCATTCTGAGCAGGACCTGAATGTCTGTACACAATGTCATGGTAATCCAGAAGCTATTATTATGACCAGAATCAGGTATTAATGAACTTTAGTTAACCACGTTGTTATTATTGTAACCATGACAACAGAGATTGTCTAATCTTAAGAAAGTACTTATTTTAACACAAAACCACAATGTTTTCCTAAACCTCACCAAGCAATTACAACTGCAACCATGACGACGAAGGTTGGGGAATACTGCTGTTGGTGCACTCCACATGTTTACAGCATGTGACAACCAAAGCCTGGTATGCCTGTCGCCTAGAGACATTCCTGTGTGTCATACAAGGTTGTAACAAACAACCTTATGGTTGCTCAGGTTGGAGGACGTGTTAAAGCTCAGCCATGAAATGAAAGGGACTCTCTGTAGACCTCCATGATAAAACTGTAATGAGGCATCGATCAGGTCAAAGGTTTAAAACCATTTCTAAAGCTCTGAGTGTTCCCAGGAGTGACATCAGTGATTGTGAAATGAAAGAATGTGTGAACACAGCAAAGGCAGGTTTTCAAGGTTGTCCCTGTTTTTTTTCACCAAAAAAGCGCTATATACTGTACGTGCACAGATACATTGCCGACATCATTGTAATCAATGTCATTATTGTAGAAAAGAAGCTAATCCTGATGATCAGTGCTAATGCAAATGCTAGGTAGCCAACCGTTTATTTGCAATCTATTGGTGGCTGCTAATGCTAGCAAGCTAGCCCCGCCCCTCTGTTGTGGTTGTCCCTGTTTTTTTACCCATAAAGAAAAAAAAAGCTAATGCCAATGCTAGCTGCTATTGCTAGCAAGCTACCGCCCCCTGTGTCACCTTCTGTTTGTCCCTGTTTTTTTAACCAAATTAAAATAAATAAATAAATAAATAAAATAAAGCTAATGCTACTGATAGCAAACTAGCTCACCCACTTCTCATTTTGCAATCTTATAATGAAATCGATAAATTAATTCATTCAAAAATCCAAGCAAGCCAGCTGCTAATACTAGATCTAATAAAAATGGAAGGGGGGGGCAGCTCTATATACTGTAAACATACATAACCGCCATTATCATTGTAATCAATGTAGACAAGATGCTATTCCTGTGCTAATGCTAGCAAGCTAGCCCCGCCCCTCTGTTCTGTTTGTCCCTGTTTTTTGTCCCTGTCCCTTGGCTGAATGGACGACTTAGCCCCCAGTTCAAATTAGGCTCATTGAGCTTATAAAGTAATGTTTACAAATAATTCCAATATTTGTAGTTGTAAATTAACCTTTGTAAACCTGAAAAATAAATCTGCATGAGAATTCAAGTTTGTGCATGTGAAAACAAATTGTGCTTTGTTCAACCTCAACACTGATCGTTTGTTCAGTTTTGAGTCAGACTTTCAACAAATACAAATCTCTTTGACACAAGCGCAATTGTTTCACATGCACAAACGTGAATTTAGATCCTATTTTCACACCTGAATTTAAATTCTACTTGTAACCTCAGTGTCACACAGTTGCAGGAATTTTGAGCTTTGCATGTGACACAGATGT